TTTATTATGAGATCCCAGTTGTTGATTCTTTGTGCTAGTTCCTGCGCTACTGAGGTTTTGTTCCTAAAGTCTTTTCCTATGCCATTATCTTCAAGAGTTCTACCTAACTTATCTTCCAGCACATTTAGTATTTCTGTTTTTATATTTAGATCTTTAATCCACTTCAATTTTACTTAATGCATGGTGATAGATGTGGGTCTAGTTTTAATCTTTGGCAGGTTGAAATCCACCTTTTCCAGCACCATTTATTAAATAGGCTATCTTTCCTCCAAGGAGGGTGGTTGGCTCCTTTGTCAAAGATGAGGCGGCTGAGGGGCTGGGTATTTAGCTCAGTGGTTCCGCTGCCTGCCTTGCAAGCACAAGGTCCCGAGTTCAATTCCCGGTACAAAAAAAAAAGAGGTGGCAGAGTATGTCTGAAGTTGTTTCTGCATCTTCTAATCTATTCTACTGATCCTCTGGTCTGTTTCTTTGCCAGTACCATGCTGTTTTTATCACAGTAACTTTGTAGTATAGTTTCAAGTTGGGGATTGTGATACCCCCTGCTATGTCTCTGTTGCCTACAATTGCTTTTGCTATTCTAGGTCTGTTCTGGCTGCAAATGAATTTTTGGATTGTTTTCTCTAGTTCTGTTAAGTATATTGTTGGAATTTCAATTGACATTGCATTAAATCTATATAGTAGTTTTGGAAGTGTAGCCATTTTCACTATATTGCTTCTTCCTACCCTGGAACAAGGGATGTCTTTCCATTTTCTTATATCCTCTTCAATCTCCTTTTTCAGAGTGCTGTAGTTTTCAGTGTAGAGGTCTTTTGCTTCCTTTGTTAGGTTGATTCCTAGATATTTAATTTTTTGGATGCTATTGTAAAAGGAATTATTTCCTGAATTTCTCTCTTAGTGGGTCTGCTATTTGCCTATAAGAAGGCTATTGTTTTTTGAGTGTTGACCTTGTATCCAGCTACTCTACTGAATCTATCAATTAAGTCTAGAAGTCTTCTGGCAGAGTTTTTTGGGTCTTCTATGTAAAGTATCATATCATCAGCAAATAATGACAGTTTCACTTCTTCCTTTCCAATCTTTATTCCTTTTATTTCTTTCTCTTTTCTAATTGCTGTGGCTAACGTTTCCAGAACAATATTGAACAGGAGTGGTGATAGTGGGCATCCTTGTCTTGTTCCTGATTTTAGTGTGAAAGTTTTAAGTTTTGACCATTTAGTATGATGTTGGCTGTTGGTTTTTCATAGATAGCCTTAATCAGGTTGAGATAAAGACCTTCTATTCCAATTTTCTGTAGCAAAACCAGCTCTTTGATTCATTGATTTTTTTTGTATCATTGTCTTAGTCTCCATTGCATTGATTTCTGCTCTGATCTTTATAATTTCCTCTCTTGTACGAGCTTTGGGTTTGTTATGCTCTTCTTTTTCTAGGCACTTGAGGTACTGCATTAGGTTATTTGAGTTCTCTCTGTTTTCCTAATATAGGCATTCACTGCTATGAATTTCCCATGTAGAACTGCTTTCATTGTGTCCCATAGATTCCTGTATGTGGTACTGGCATTATCATTTACTTGTAGAAACTGTCTAATTTCTTCTTTAATTTGCTCTGTGGCCCACTGGTTGTGGAGGAGGGTATTATTCAATTTCCATGTGTTTGTGGGTGTTTTGTGGTTTCTTATGTTATTGATCTTCAATTTTATTGCACTATCATCTGATAATATACAGGGGGTAACTTCAATTCTTTTATGTTTACTTAGACATGTCCTGTGAGCTAGCATGTGGTCTGTTTTGGAGAATGACCCATATGCAGCTGGAAAGAATGTGTATTCTGATTTTGTGGGGCATAATACTCTGTAAACATCTATTAAGTCCATTTGTTCAATAGCTTGGTTCAGTTCTAGAATTTTGTTGTTAATTTTTTGTCTAGATGATTTGCCTATTTGTGATAGTGTGGTATTGAGGTCCTCCACTACAATTGTATTAGTGCTTATTTGGTTTTTCATGTCCATTGCTATTTGTTTTGTATAGTTGGGGGCATTAGTATTTGATGCATATATATTTAGGACTGTCATCTCTTCTTCTTGAATTGTTCCCTTCACAAGGATGTAGTGACCATCTTTGTCTCTCTTAATGAGTTATGGTTTGAAATCCAGTTTGTCTGCAAATAAGGTTGCTACCCCTACTTTTTTCTCAGTTCCTGTGGCATGTAGAACTGTTTTCCATCCTTTTACTTTCAGTCTATGTATTTCTTTTTGAATTAGGTGTGTTTCTTGTATACAGCATATTGTTGGATTTTGCTTCTTAATCCATTCTGCCAGTCTATTTCTTTTGATTGGTGAATTGAGGCCATTAACATGATGGTTATAATTGATAGATATTGACTCATCCTTGTCATGATATTTTACTGTTGTTGGCTCTTTTATTTCTTATTTTCCCCCTTTCCCTTTAGTTTCTTACCTTGCCTGGTGGCTTCCCTCTGTTGGACCTCATGGAGTTGTGACCTTCATTGTCTTTTTCTAAGATATTGTTTAAAATTGTTTGGAGTGCTAGTTTGGTGTTCATGAAGTTTCTCAGGTGTTCTTTGTTGTGGAAGTATGTAATTTCCCCATCGATTCTGAAAGATAATTTTGCAGGATACAACAGTCTAGGTTGGAAGTTATGTTCTTTTAGGGCTTGAAATACTTCACTTCACACTCTCCTTGACTTGAGGGTTTGTGTTGAGAAGTCTGCCATGATTCTGATGGGCTTTCCTTTGTAGGTGATTTATTTCTTTTGTCTAACTGCTTGTAGGATTTTGTTCTTCTGTTGCATTTCTGGTATCTTGACTATTATATGTCTAGGTGTAGATTTGTTTTGACTGTGGCTAGTTGGAGTTCTATATGCCTCACTTCTCTGTATGTCCAATTCTCTACCTCCGGGAAGTTTTCTACTATTACTTCTGTGAATAGTTTTTTTATGTGAATTGTACTTTCTCCTGTTTTTTCGTGGACTCCTATCAGTCTTATGTTATTCTTCTTTGCATCATCTAGCAGCTGCTGGATTGATTTCTCGTGGTCCCTTGCTATTTTTAAGAAATCTCTATCTTCATGGTCACTAACCACAATCCTGTCTTCTATATCTGATATTCTATCTTCACATTCCCTTAATCTGCTGTGCATACTTTCAGTGGAGTTTT